GATACATGGCTGGGCGCCTTCTAACTCTACCTAGCTTGAAGCGGATGCATCAAAGCCATTGCCCGGGGAATACTTGATCATAGACCGGAAGTAGTTAGCTGCTTGAACTTTTCACAGAGGAATCGTCCTGGCCACTCCCAAGTGATTGGCAGTCAGAAAACTTTCAACCTTTGTAAAGAGCCATCTCCCTAAAGAGCCCCATCCCCCAGAAATGAATAATAAACCTTTATGAAATCGAATCATTCGAACACAATTTCCGAATTTTGAAATCTTTAGAACTGAACTAGAACTAAACTAGAACTGAACTAGAACTGAACTAGAACTGAACTAGAACTGAACTAGAACTGAACTAGAACTGAACTAGAACTGAACTAGAACTGAACTAGAACTGAACTAGAACTGAACTAGAACTGAACTAGAACTGAACTAGAACTGAACTAGAACTGAACTAGAACTGAACTAGAACTGAACTAGAACTGAACTAGAACTGAACTAGAACTGAACTAGAGCTGAACTAGAACTGAACTAGAACTGAACTAGAACTAAACAGAACTGAACTAGAACTGAACTAGAACTGAACTAGAACTGAACTAGAACTGAACTAGAACTGAACTAGAACTGAACTAGAACTGAACTAGAACTGAACTAGAACTGAACTAGAACTGAACTACAACTGAACTACAACTGAACTAGAACTGAACTAGAACTGAACCAGAACTGAATTAGAACTGAACTAGAACTGAATTAGAACTGAACTAGAACTAAACTAGAACCAATGTAGAACTGCTCTAATACTGAACTAGAACTGAACTGGAACTGAACTAAAAAATGAAATAGAGCTGAACTAGAACTCAACTAGAACTGAACTAAAACTGAACTAGAACTAAAAATTCGGAAATTGAACTAATTCCTTAACCCCTCTGCTGATTTGCTAATGATCTTTTTCATTCATGTTTGTTTATAATATTTTTTCTATTCAATTCATTTGTAACTCGTTCCTTACCAACATCAAATTTATGGTTTCAATGTGAACTGTCTTAACCATTTCATATTCCTCTTCCGCTCTCAGTCCCCACAAAAGACATTTAAACTACTTTTTTCTATTGGTTCATCTTCAATTTCCGAGACAACACACTACCAAATGATTTAGTATGCAAGCTTTATTGCAGACGAAGAATTTAAAATAATTTATATATTTTTTTTTCGATAATTTATTGCCATATTGTCACATAACAAGACAATTGTCGTGTGTTGTTCTTGTTTTTCTAGTTTTGTTATATGTCCATCGAAGACAAAATGAATTATTGAATAATAATTTAATTAAAAGGATAAAAAAAGAGAGCAAAAACATTTTTTTTAAAGAATAAAAATTTTTCAAATATTTCTTTAAAAAGTTTTCTCTTTTAATGCAAAATTTTTGGAAAATTCTCAAAATTCAAAATTTTCTCTAGAAAAATTTCAAAATCCTGTTTTTTTGTCAAAAAAATTCAGTTTCATCTAAAAAATACCAATTACGAACATTATTTCCTTAACTAATTTTTGCAACATTGTTGTTTCAACATGTTGCTGTTTTATTATGGCGCAAGTTGCACAACAAAACATTAAATCAATTAATCAATCATATTAATTTGAACATAATTTTTTCCTTATAGTTTGATTGCCTCCACTAAATCAATTAAAACAATTTGTTTTTATTTCTTATTAACATGCCAACATTAATATGAAACTCTAAGCAGTGGAAGAGAAAAAAAATGTTTATAAACATGAACATATGTTTTGCCGTAATGGAAAAAAAAGTCTTAAATTTGCATAAAAAATAATTGAATAATTTGAAATAAAATTTTTAGTTTGTTTATTAAAAAAAATAAGTTTATACAAATTTATTATGGTCTTCAAACAAAACAGGAAAAAGAGGGGTTAGCGAGAGGGAAAATAATATTTAGTAGATTCTTTCAACACATATGTAAACAATTTTGAAAACATCCCAAACTGTCTGGTTTTCTTGTTTTTGGTGCCCCAACTGACAAAATAAACAAACTAACAAATTTGAAAAAAATATTCAAAAAAAAATCAAAGCAACAAAAACAAATAGTATATTTATAAGCAACAACTTGTTGATTATTCCAAGCATGACGCCCAAATATTAAACGCAACAAAAAAACACAAATTATAAAAACCAACACTGTAGCCACTAACGGCCACAACTCATACATTGAGAATTGACTAAGAAATCACAAATTTAAAAAAAAAAAACAAGTAAGAAGTCTATATTCGCCTTTGCCGAATCTTATATACCCTTCACCATAGTGAATTTAAATAATAATATATATTTTATAAAATTTAAATTTATTTCATTTTCCCGTTTATATCATTATTATAGCAATAGCAAAACAAAATAAACAACAACAATGCTAAGCGAAATAAACACACAAAAAACAAAATACACAAGGCAGAAAAACCAAACATACGAAACGAAATACACAAAAGAACAAAAACAAAACACACACCGCAATGGAACTAACAGACACCCAAACATACGAAACTGAATACGCCAAGAAACAAAAACAATATACACAAGGCAATGAAACACACAGCCATCCAAACATACGAAACTGAATACACCAAGAAACAAAAACAACATACACATGGCAATGAAACACACAGCCATCAGAGATACAAGCCGATGCGAAATGATCGGCGGCGACGGCGCAACCATTTTTGGTCGGCGGCGGCTTATTACAGAAAATTTCGGCGTCGGCTAAATTGTCGGCTCAATTTAACTTTTTCTTTAGAAATTGACCTTATAAGGTCTATTATATTGAAAAATCTTTGTATAATAGTCTGTTACATAGAAACCTGTCTCTATATAAGTTTTATTCTGCAGAAAATGGACATTTATAGTAGTTTTCACTATTTTAATATTAGCACAATATTGTGTGGCAACTCTTTTCAATTTGCCATAAGAATTTAAAATAGTGGCAACTCCGTTCAAATTGGTGAAATTATGTTCTGAAATACATGTGCGATTCTAATCTTTATCAGCGGCTACGTTTAAGCCGGCTTAGCTTTTGAGCCGAAAGAAGTCGGCGGCGGCGCGGCTTGCAAAATATTACCGGCGGCCAGCCGCCGATTTGAGCCGTCTCGGCTTGTATCTCTGTAACAGACACCCAAACATACGAAACTGAATACACCAAGAAACAAAAACAATATACACAAGGCAATGAAACACACAGCCATCCAAACATATGAAACTGAATACACAAGAAACAAAAACAACATACACATGGCAATGAAACACACAGCCATTCAAACATACGAAACGAAATAATAAGAAAAACAAAATACACAACGCAATGAATAAGCAGTGTTGTTGTTGTTTATTTTTTATGAAATTTTCAGAGGTTGTCTCGGATTTTTGCTTATATCTCCGTTGTTTATGGACAGATTTTGCTGATTTTAAATAGGAAACTTCTCGAAAGCATGTCTGATAGAATTATTGAAGATTTGGATCCCGAAGATATTTGTGGTCTTCAGAAAACTGATTTCAACAGACAGACAGACGGACATGGCTTAATCAACTTCGCTATCTATAAGGATTCAGAATATATATATACTTTATAGGGTCGGAAAATTATATTTTGGAAATTACAAAGGGAATGACAAACTTATATATTATACCCTTCTCACGAAGGTGAAGGGTATAATTATTAAGAAAAAAATACTACAACCATATTTTCATTCAACAACCCAATGTCCAGCTGTATAATATTCAACCAAACAAAAGAATAACGCAAAATTTTTAGTAAATAACAAAAAAAATAAAACTAGGAAAACTTGCCAAATAAAAAAAAAACACATGAAATTATGACAAAAATTTAAACACAACATAAATAATTATTACCGGTTTAATTTTAGCCGGTTTTTTTCGTTATTAGTTTCTACATCTTTGTTGTAACCCAAAAATGTAATACAAACAAGTAAGAGTGCTATATTCGGCTATGCCGAATCTTATATACCCTTCACCACAGTGTATTTAAAAAATATCAATTCTATAAAATTTTAATTTATTTCATTTTCCCGTTTATATCATTATTATAGCAATAGCAAAACGAACAACAACAACGCTAAACGAAATAAACACAAGTCAGTAAACCAACAGACATCCAAACATACGAAACGAAATACACAAAAAACAAAAACAAAATACACAACGCAATGAAACCAACAGACATCCAAACATACGAAACTGAATACACCAAAAAACAAAAACAATATACACAAGGCAATGAAACATACGAAACGAAATACTCACAAAAAAGCAAAAACAAAATACACAACGCAAAGAAAACAACAGACATCCAAACATACGAAACTGAATGCGCCAAGAAACAAAAACAATATACACAAGGCAATGAAACACACAGCCATCTAAACATATGAAACGAAATACTCAATGAATAAGCAGTGTTGTTGTTGCTTATATCAAAATTTTCAAATTTTCAGAGGTTGTCTCGGATTTTTGCTCATATCTTCGGTATTTATGGATCGATTTTGCTGATTTTAAATAGCGATCTTCTCGAAAGCATGTCTAACAGAATTATTGAAGATTTGAATCTCGCCGTTATCTGGGGTCCTCTAAAAACTGATTTCAACAAACACACAGACGGACAGACAGACAGACGGACATAGCTTAATCAACTCCGCTACCTATAAGGATCCAGAATATATATACTTTATGGGGTCGGAAAATTATATTATAGAAATTACAAACGGAATGACAAACTTATACACCTTCACCTTCGTGAGAAGGGTATAAATAAATTTCTAAATTTGTAGAAATTTTTATGAATGAATGAATACTAATGATGAGTTGTAAGAGGAATAATTTTTTGTAATTCATTAAATTATTTTATTGCTTTACCTTTAGATTCTATTTGAAATTAATTATTTTATTAGGAAATATTTTATTAATTAATTTCTTCCCCCCCCTTTTATTACAGAGGCAAATTTGCTGCTGTACGCCGTGCTATACACAAAAATTCGGGTACACATTTTGCAGCAAAATTTCTAAAACGTCGCCGTCGAGCCCAGTCGTCGGATAAAGAGATTAAACATGAAATTGCCGTTTTGATGTTGTGTAATGAAGCTGATAATATTGTTAAATTGAATGCTGTGCATGAATCACGTTCAGATACAGCGCTATTATTGGAATTGTAAGTTGAATATTTCAAAAATTTTCCAAAGAAATAAGAAAATGGATTTAATTTAAATAGAAAATCGTCTAAAACTATCTATTTTATAAAAAGATTTTTAAAAATGTTGATTTTTGTTTTAATACTCAAATATATTGCTGGCAACATGTTGCTAAACATATAACACTTTAAACATTTTCAAAATTTGTTATTAGATTATTAATTTTGTTTATTAACAAAATTTTTTATTACACAGAGCGACTGGTGGTGAATTACAAACATTTTTGGATAATGAAGAATGTCTTACAGAGGCCCAGGCCCGCATTTGTATGCGTGAAGTACTTAAAGCTCTACAATTTTTACACAAACGTTCTATAGTTCATTTAGATTTAAAACCACAAAATATTTTATTGGCCGGTGAACATATAGAAGGTGAGTATGCTCTTCACATTCGCCATACCATAAAAAGAAAAACTATATCATTTCTCTTTTACTCCCCTCTAGATGGTTTAAAATTATGTGATTTTGGTATATCACGCGTCGTAGCCGAGGGTACTAATGTACGTGAAATCGTTGGTACACCCGACTATGTAGCACCTGAAGTTTTACAATATGAACCGTTGTCATTGTGTACGGATATTTGGTCGGTTGGTGTTTTGGCTTATGTCTTACTATCGGGTTTCTCTCCATTCGGTGGGGAAACAAAACAGGAAACCTTCCTTAATATATCACAATGTGCATTAACATTTCCGGATAAATTATTTGGAGGCGTCTCATCGGCAGCCATTGATTTTATACGTAAAGCATTGCGAATAAAGCCAAAGTAAGTTTTTTTTTAAAAAAATAAATTTTTTAAATAATTTTATTAACTGTTTTTGTTTTGTTAAAATTTATAGTGATCGCATGACTGCTGCAGGATGTCTCGAACACATTTGGCTTAAAGACGAATGTAACATCGATAGACATATTTTTAATGCGATAAACAGTAAGCAACAATTGGAACAACATGATGATGATGATGAAGAAGAAGATGAGGAGGTGGATGAAGAACAACAACAAGAAGAGATAGATGAAGAGCAAGTTGATGAAAATGAACATGAACAGGAAGTGCAGGAAGAAGCTGCTGAAGAGGTACTGTCAGTTAAAGATAACAAACCTCAAGCTATTAGTGTAGACAATTCGGAAGAGGAAGATAATATTCCTGCTAACGATACATATGCTAAATTGGCTTTAAATAAAACAACAAATAGTCACACTAATGGTCAGATCAATGGTCATCACTCATCAGCTCATACAAATGGTTTTACTAATGGTTTTACCAATGGTTTTGCAAATGGTCATTCGACTGCTCTAACTAATGGTCATACGAATGGTTATCTAAATGGTCATTCTAATGGTCATGTTACAGTTTTGAGTAAGGGCCACTCGGCTAATAGTTTTACTAAATTGCGCGATGATTACCATGATAAAACCATTAAGCTAGCGGGAGTTAAATCAACCTCCAATGCCACGACAACAAAAACCACGGCTGTGCACAATGTACCAGCTACAAAAGCCATTACCATACCATTGTGCAGTGTACAACCAACCTCATCTATGCAACACCAACAACAAACACCACCTCAAGAACAACAATTATTACACATACCGGCCAGACGTCATTCATCTGAATCCAATAAAGAAAATACCTTTCTAACCACCAAGAAAATATCAGCCAACAATTGTAATGGCTCCAGTACAGGCAATTTAAAGAAAACATCTTCATCTTCCTCCACCAACTCAACCACAGTCACACAATCGGCTACCGCCACTATACACATAACACCAGCAGCTACCCTTAATACTGCCAATATAGTGGCCACCATTACATTACCCACGGCTACAAATGGGAATGTAATCAATGATAAGGTATCAGTTAATAGCAACAATCATCATTCTTTATTCCCAGATGCCCCTACTACGCCCAAAGTTATACGCAAGGCACCAACTACTGATGCATCACCCACCTCAGTTAAGGCTTTAGTTAAGAAATTTCAACTTGAAGGCGGCGAACAACCCATAACACCACCAGAATTTGCCACCAATGGCAGTAAATTGCAACAGCAGCATCAGGCAGCCCAGCTGCAACAAAGTCAATTAAAATATAATGCCCAAAGCAATGGCAGCAGACCCTCACTGTCCCCACCCAGCTTAGCACATTCTTCGGCCATTACCATTGCGAATTCCTCAAGAAGAGCTTCAGAACCCATCACTGCTATACACAGCAATAAGAAATTAAGTACGACTTCCTCATCGGCTCCCGTAACCCTACCAGTTTCAGCAGCTGCTCATAATTTTAAAACAACATGCGTGTATTGTGTTTCCTGTACAAATTCCTCAACAAATGGATGCAGGCATCCCAATTCCTCAATAACAACAAACAACATTAGCACCTCCTTAGCTGCCTCCGCACAAACAACAGCAACAGCAACAAAAACTTCTTGTTCCACTACACCTCTAAGCAGTAATAGCACAAAATCCTTAATCAATAACAGCAGCAGCAATGGCAGTCTTACTTCCAGCAGTAGTAATGCTAATGCTTCCACCTCTTCTTCAACCACAGCTTTATTATTTGGTCAGCAGCAGCAGCATTCGCATACTCAGCATTTGTTAAATTCCCACCAACATTCGCATCATTCACATCATCATCCTCATCATCATCACCATCACTTACATCATCATAATGGTGTGGTTAAGAGTGCTGCCGCTTCAGCAAATGGTTTAAGTTTAGATCAGGGTATTATTTGTTAGCTAAGGGTCTCTAGGGCGCGAAGGAATGCCAAAAGTTTCTTTCATCGTTTCTTATGTTGTATGTAGTATAGGGTGAAAAATTCTAAAAATATTAATAGTAATAATAATAAAAATAAAAATAATCGTAATCATAATATTAATAATAATAAACATAGTACGAATAGTTATTTAACAAAAAACAAAAAGTATTTCAATTACTTTTTATGTTGTTCAGATGCTGGTGTACCATATGAAGAATTTGTTTAAAACGGGGATATACTTCTTATAAAATTAACTTTTCCTTGTGTGTTAAATAAACCCTTTTTAAGTAGCTGTTGGAAGAAAATTAAACTTTTGTCATTTCTGTTAACTTAAGGCCTTATCAAAGTCTTTGTTTGTTTAGCATTTGTCTAATTTAGCAGAAATTTCAAAAAGTTTAATTCAAAATTTATATATTTTAAGCTTTTAATATAAAAGAAATTGCCCATTTTTTATGAAAAAATCTATAACTTTTAAATTATTAAGCTTTATGGAAGTTAATATAGCAGTTTTTTACATTTACTGTGTAAAAAAATTTATAATAAAGCTTTTTTAGGTTGTAAATGAAATGTTACGGAAAATTTTCTGAAATTCTATAAATTTAAAGAAAATTGTATAGTTTAGTTTTGAAATTCTTTAAATTTCTATTTAAATATTAACTAAGACATTCAAAAGCTTTAAAGCTTACTTCATTAGCTATTAAGTACTTTTATTAGTATTTATTTCATTAATGTCTTAAAGCTTTATAGTAGTTTAATTAAAGCAGTAACACAAATAAAGAATTCTTAAAGCTTTTTAAACCTTTTCAAAACTTGTTCTAAATTTAGCAAAATTTAAAAACTGTAAAAATTTTGGTCTAAAATAAATTAAATTTAAAAGCTTTTTCAAATATTTACAGCTCTTACAAACTTAAAAGCATTTTTAAATATTTGATATAATATTGCTAAAGCTTTTAAGAACAGTTGAAAAATTTCAGCTAAAATCAGCAAAAGTCAATAAAATTTAAAAGCTTTTTCCGAATATTTAAAGCTTTTGAAAACTGTTTCAAAACGTGATCCAAAATCAGCAAAAAAAACCCTTTCAAATTATAGTATAAAATCAATAAAATTTAAAAGCTTTTTCAAATATTGGATAGAATGTTCTCAAAGCTTTTAAAAATAGATGCAAAATTTTAATAAAATTCAGAAATTTTTGAAAACTGTTTCAAATTTTGATTAAAATTTAAAAGCTTTTTCAAATTTTGATTTAAAATTTCAAAGCTTTTTCAAAAAATTTCAAGATTTTAAAAACTGTTTAAAACTTGATGCACAATCAACAAAATTTAAAAGCTTTTGAAAACGGGATTTAAAGTTTAATTAGATATGAATAAAAATCGAAAAGCTTTTTTCGTCCAACTTTTAAATAAATTTCGAGAAGCTTTTAAATTGAGTCAAGGTCTGCAAAACTAGCTAACGACTTTTAAAATTTGACTTCTTTTAGGGCGTTTAATTAAAATAAGCTTTATAAATAAAACTTTTGCCAAGTTTTATATGCAAAGCTTTAGGGATATACTAAAATTTTCCTTATTAATGCTATTTTACTTAGTTCTAGAGCAAAAAATCAACTAATTTATATAGCACTGCAAAGCTTTCTTAGGGGCATTTCTAAACAATTGCAACAATATTGGAGTTTTTAAAAGCTTTTTGGGTCTAGTTTCTTAAAAGCTTTGAGACCTTTTGAAAATTGACTTCATATGAAAAACTCAGTAAAAGCTTAAGTGAATATTACATTTGAAGTTTGAATCCGCAATTTGTTTTTCAAAACCTATTGATCTTTCAGTCACAGATAAAGCTATAGAGTAAAAACAACAAATTAAAAGAAAACTTTTAAAATACAAATTTAGTTTTAATTCTAAATTGTTAAAGCTTTATCTTGTAACTAGGTAATAAACCTAAAAGCTTAGACTAACTTTTAAACAAAAGTTTAATAAACTGTTAAATTGAAAGTTTAAAGTCTACAACTTTGGAAAGAAAGCTTTTTTAAATATGTTGGTAATTAATAGTAAATTGCAAAAAGCTTTTGCTAAACTAAGTTTTCAATTAACTCAAAAGCTTTTTATTATCTGCTAAAAGTTATACTAAAAACTTTTTGATTAATAAAGCTTTTGTTAAAAGTTCTTTATTTCAATGACAGAGAGCTTTAAAGTCCTGCATGATGGAAAAGGAATAACAAATTTGAAAAAAGTATTTAAAATTGTATAAATTATAAAAATTAGATTTAAAATTATTAATTTTTAGGTTATTAAAGTTAATTATTGTAAAAGTATTAATAAATTGTATAAAAAAAGCTTTTAAGTAATCTATAATTAATAAGTTTAATAAGAATTTTTAAATAATGGCCAATTAAATTTAAAAGAAATGGGCAATTTCGAAAAAGAATAACTATAAAAAACTCAAAGGCTGCTTAAAACAATTGAAAATTTCAGAACCTTAAAACTTAAAGCAAAAACAAAAGGAACAGTTTATCAAAAGAGCTAAAAACTTTAATACTTTTTAAAATTATTATTGTTTTAAAACTATTGAAAAGCTGTTAGAAAACTTAATTTGAAATTTGTTACAAAAATTTAAAAGTTTGAAAAGTGGTGAGATTTTCAATTGCTAGTAGATTATATGGAAAAGTGAAACTCTCCAAAAACTTTAGCTGGTTTACTAAAGTATTTGTATAACTTATTACAAAGAAAAGTTTTTCAACCCCCAAACAAATTTAAACTTAAACTATTTAACAGAATCCCCGGTACATCAACATTTTGTTAAGTTAATTACAATTACAAGCAAAAAAGAAACAAGTTAAAGCTTAAACGATTTGATATTAAATGTTGTTTTCTGTTGTAATAACAACAAAAAGTTATAATTTTCAAAAACCTTTTAAAAAACCCTTTAGTTGAAACGTCCTTTGGTTATTCCTGCTGCTAATTAAATGTTTTATTTTAAAACCTAAAAAATAAACAAAAAACTATTTCCAAATCCTAACACTTTCCTTTAAAGGTCTCTATTTTTTGTGATTCTTAATTATTTTTTTTTAAATATATATCTTTATAATTCTATTATTTTAATTAATTTAAAATTTAATTTCGATCTTCATTATTATTTCTTTTCATTTTTTATGAGTGTGAAATGTTTAATTATATAATTTCTTTAATTAAGTTTATTAAAACAACAAAAAGGCAAATTTAGTAAAAAAAAAACATTTATTTAAAATTATATTTTCATTTCTATTTGGTAATGTCCTTATTTTTTATTATTTTAAATTTAATATAATTATTTAAAAAGAAAACTGCTTAATTTTCTTTTGCAAAAATAAAAAGAAAACTTAAATTTTCTTAAAAAAGGCATTAAAATTTACAAAAAAATTTAAATATTTTATTAAACATTTTATTTTGGGTTTATAGAAAACTAGTTTTTTAAACAATTGCTTGTAGATTTTTATTAAAAAATTTAATTACAATTGTTTGATTTAAAATAAAAAGCTTGCAAATTAGTATTATAATAGCAAACAGTTTAATAGAATTTTAATAAAAATTAAACAAAATTTTTAAATTTTATTTAAAAATCTTTTAAACTGTTTAGTTCGTTAATAATTATTATAAAAACAAACATTTCTTAATTTTCTCTTATTTTTATTACACCCCTTAAAACAACAATGATTTTTTTTAGCTAAATGTTAAACTATAATTAAAAAAACATAAACACTTGTTTAAAAACATAAAACATATTTAAATAAAAGTTTATTAAAATTTTAAAAAAATATTAATTAATTTATAAAAAAATATTAATAAAACAAGAAATTATAGTTTTTAGTTTTCATTTATTGTTTTTAAGTTAAAAAGAAAACACCTACACTAATTAATTAAATAATTAATAGCTATAATAATAAATAAATAATTATTATAATTATTACTTTGCTGAAAACTGAAGTGTGTGTTTAAAAAGAGAAAAATGTTATACAAAATAAATATGTAATGAAAAATCAATAAAAAATATTTAAAAACAAACATTTTACACAAAATCTTAAACATTTATTAAGGGATGAATGGCACAAAACAAGAACCATTAAATGTAAATAAAAAAAAAAACAAAATATTAAATAAATAATTGTTAAAATTACACGATATTCATATGAGAAGTTTAACAAGTTTTCACAGACAACACATTTCTGTTAAAAGTTCTTTTATCATTTACACTATACACCCTAAATCAGTTTTATGCTGTTTATTACAAACTATAACCACTAAATCAAAAGTCTGGCAACATTAGCGCAAAATATGCCAAACCAAAATTTGAACTACAAACAAAACGCAATCTAATTTTGATATTATTGGAACTTAAAACAATATTGATTTAATACTAGCAAAATTTTGTAACTCTGGCCACACTGGTTAAATAATTTTTCATAAACTGTTTGCTATAAGTTAACAGCTCTCGATTTATTTAAATACTTGTTGACAATTTACTAAAATTGTCTTTGAATTCAAAGAAAATTATTCGAATGTAGTATTTTTTCAAAAGTCTGGTAACACTGGCACACTAAGTTTTATATAAATAAGTAATTTAAAAGACAACCTAACAAATGACACCAGTTTTAAGCAAAACGGTTTGATACTTTCAAAGTTATAGCAAAACAAAAAATTGTACAAAAATATAAGAAATTTCAGAAATCTGGCAACATTATCAAAATAATTTTCGTTACAGCATGTAATAAAGATAATAAACTAGCGATTGCCTTCAATTTTAAGCCAAACGCTTCAGTAATTTCAAAGTTATAACCGTACAAAGATTTCTAAAAAAAATATAATGAATTTTGAAAATCTGGCAATATTGCTAAAATAAATTTTGTACAACACGCAGCTTAAATCTTTACCTTTCAATTGACACTAATTTCATGCAAATCGTAACAGTACTTTTGGAGTAATAGCTATTTAAACAAACTTAAAATAATAATAAGAAAATCTCAAAAGTGCTAAAAAAAAATTATAATAAATTTCGTAAATCTGGCAACAATACCAACATAATTATCGATACAGCAAATAGTTAATATAATAAACTAGCTATTGTCACCAATTTTAAACAAAACGGTTCAGTACTTTCAAAGTTATAAGCATACAAAGGTTAGTATAAAAATATAATGAATTTTGAAAATCTGGCAATATTGGTAAAACAAATTTTGTACAACACGCAGCTTAAATCTCTACCTTTCAATTGAGACCTTTTGCAAGCAAAACGTAACAGTACTTTTGAAGTAATAGCTTTCTAAAGAAATATAACGTAATAATAATAAAATCTCAAAAGTCTGGCAACGCTGGTGAAACAATTATTACTAAACAAATAGCCTTAATTATAAGCTAACGATTGACTCTTCTTTCACTTAATTCGCTTGAGTATTTTAGAAGTTATAACAATTTTAAAAATCCCTAAAATTAGACAATTTTCCAAAACACGACAACCCTGTTACAACATGGTAACAGCGCCATCTATTGATGGGGTACATGGTTTTTCTGCAGAGCAAAAAATGATAGCTATTTTTAAACGTTAATAACTCGAAAACTACTGAACCGATTTTAATAAATTGTATGTGGTCTTGTAGGCGACATATTGCAGATTCATAAAATTTATTTTGCCAGAGTTGCCATCCTGTTTAAAGTAACAAAAAACTAATTTTAATAATAAAATCGTTATAACACAGGAACTATTGAAGTGATCATTATGAAGTTTGCATAGACTTGTAGAGGGTATTTTGAAAATTATAAAAAACTGTTTTGCCAGTGTTACCACCGTATTAAAAAGGGCAAAAAACTAAGTACAAAGAAAAACGATCTTACACCATAACTACTGAACCTATTTCGATCAGTTTGGTATGAACTTGTAGAGGATAATTTTAAGATTATGAAAAATTATTTTGGCAGAGTTACCACCTAGTTAATACTGACGATAAATAAGTAATTATTTTCAAAACGTTATTACACCTAAACTACTAGACCAATTTCGTTGAACTTGGTATGGACCTGTAGGGAATATATTCTAAATTAAAATCATATCGTTTTACAGAGTTGCCATCTTGTCGAATGTGAAAAAATATTAATATTATTATTTCCTATTTTATTATGAAAAAATAAAGTTGGCAACTCTGGCAAAGTAAATTTTTATAACCAACAATGTGTCACTCACAAGTGCATATAGATATTAACCAATATCAGTTCAGTAATATTTGTGCTGTAAAATAAAGAAAAATTATTGTACTTTATTTACTCCACTTTTAACAGGGTGGAAACTCTGGAAAAATAATTTTTTATAATCTACAATTTGTCACCTACAATTTCATGTCAAACTTATCAGAATATATGCAGTTGTCTTGGAGTTATAACGTTTTTTCTATTGCACTAATTTTTTGCTACTTTTAGCTAGGTGGCAACTCTGGCAAAATAAATTTTAAAATATTTAATATATCTCCTATAAGTCTATGCTAATTTCAACGAAATTGGTTCAATAGTTTTAGAGTTATATCGTTTTTTCATATTGTAATTAGTTTTTAGTTACTTTTAACAAGGTGGCAACTCTGGTAATATAAATTTTCTTAATCTTGAATTTGACCTCTACAAATCCCCATACATTTTATTGAAATCGGTTCAGTAGTTTCTGTGTTATAACGTTTTGAAAATTAGTGTCTGATGGACAAAATTTTTCACTTTGCAAAAAAACCATATACCCAACCAATAGATGGCGCTGACTCGATGTCGTGGCAGGGCTTTCGTGTTTTGGAAAATAGGTCGAATTTAGGGATTTTTATAATTGCTATAACTCAGAATGTACTCTATCAAATTGAGTGAAACTGGTGTCAATCTTTAGTTTATAATTTTAGCTATTCGTTTTATTAAAAATTATTTCGCCAGGGTTGCCAAACTTTTTGAAATTTCTTATTATATTGTAAGGTGGCTTTAAAATGCTACATCTCCTAAAGTACTGCCACGATTTTAATGAAATTAGTATCAATCGATAGTTGTATAATTGAGCTACATGTTTTTGGAGAACTCATTTCACCAATATTGCCAGACTTTTAGAATTTGCATTATTTTCATAACATATTTTGACTAGTTATAACTTCGATAGAACTCAACCATTTTTAGTAAAACTGAAGTCAATCGTTAGACTACAATTCCTAGTATAGAATATTGGAAAATTTTATTTATTAGTGATGCCAGATTTCTGAAATGTGCTTAATATATATAACATACTTTGCCTGAATATAACTTCGAAAATACTTAGCCGTTTTTAGAGCAACTGGAGTCAATCGCTAGGTAATTATTTCAATCGCTAGGTAATTATTTTACTAGGGTTGCCAGATTTTTGTAATTTATATATAAGATATTTTCACTTGCTATAAGTTTCAAAGTACTCAATCATTTTAAATGGAACGTTTATAAGGTGGCTTAAAAATGCTTTATTTCAAAAACTGCTGTCACGATTTGAATGAAATTAGTGCCAATCGATAGTTATATAATTGAGCTACTTGTTTTTGGAAAACTTATTTCACCTATATTGCCAGATTTTTAGAATTTACTTAATTTTTTCAATATATTTTTACATGTAATAACTTTGAAGGTACTTAATTATTTTAAGTGAAACTGGTGTCAATCGTTAGATTACAATTAAATGTGATGCCAGATTTTTGAAATTTGTTTAATATTTATAACATATTTTGTGTGATTATAACTTTGAAAGTACTTAACCGTTTTTAGTGCAACTGGAGTCAATCGCTAGATTGTAATTTCTACTATATGCTGTTAGAAATTATTTTACTAATGCTGCCAGATTTTTGGAATTTGCTTTAAAATATTTATAAAATATAATATAATAACTTCAAAAGTTCTTAACCATTTTAAATTAAACTGGAATCAATCGCTAGGTTATTATTTCCGCTATATGATGTTGGACAAATTATTTTAACAGTATTGCTAGACTTTGAAATATTTAAACATTTTTCTTAAAATTTTTCTACAAGCATTTATTTTTCGTAAAACAGAAACCGGTTGACTATTGCTGTATGAAAAAAAGTTGAACAGTATTGCCAGACTTCCTAAATTTACAATTTTATGAGTTTTTCTACAAAATTACCCTAATTTTTCT